CAAGGCAACAAGCACGAATTGAGGTAATCATTTTTATTAGCTGATTTTCTGTTTTAAACATATTAATACCACCCTTTTAAACTTAGGATCAAGAAATCTAAATTTCATGGGAAGTCATTGAGATTTACCCAAGTGAGAGTAGACGGTGAATTTAGTCTTAATTTAGTCTCAGGAGAAAACAAACTGGAATACTGGAAAAAAGCCACTCGCATGAAGGGGAAAAACTTTAAAATTTTATAACCCCAAATTTGAAAAATCCCCCCAAAAAAGTCATTCATAATCCTAGGAACTTAGAATGTTACTATTAACATTTTGGCATATNCCCAAAAAAGTCATTCATAATCCTAGGAACTTAGAATGTTACTATTAACATTTTGGCATATAGTCTTCCAGTTTTTCTCCCATGCTTATATATCTACTTATTTATGCTTTTTATATCTCATTTCTTGTACTTTTCTTTGTTTCTTCTTCCCTCCCTTCCTTCTCCCTTCCCCCTTCTTGTTTTCTTCTTCTTTCCCTCCTACCTTCTGTCCTTCTCTTTCTTCCTTTTTTCTTTTCTTTCTTTCCAAAATCAGTGTCAATTTGTTTATGATGGTTTATAACTGATTTATTGGTACCTTGTGCACATTGTTTTATGTCATTCTGTAACGTGATTTTGGTAATTAAAAAAATAAATTGCAACTGCAATACAACTCAGAAGTTTGAAAATATGAGGGTACTTCAGAAAGTTCATGGAAAAATAGAATTGAAAGAACAAATCTGGAACGAGTCTGATCTTTTTGAAATACTCTCATATAGATCAAAAGAAAATAGAGACACTCATATCTCACACACTAAAGGTAACTACTGCTGATATCATTCTCTATATCCTTTTAGTCATTTTTATAGTTATAGAGCTCTATACATGTACTTGTACTTCTAAATGAGATTAAAGCATATACACTTGTTCATTTATTTAGCAAATTCTCATTGAGTTTCTATTGTGCTAACATTATGGTTAAGAGTGTGGATTTGGGAGTAGATGGTCTGGATTCTAATCCCAGTTTTTCCATCTACTTAGTTTATGATTTTGCCCTAGCTGTTTAACCTCTCAGTTTCCTTATTTATAAAGTGAGATTAATTAATAGCACCTACATCTTAGGGTTATTGTGAGAATAGATGATAATCCATATAAAGCACTTAGAGTGCCTGGCATATAGTAACTACTAAATCAGTGATTTATTTCTTTATCATCATTATTATTTGCATTAGCATACAGAAGTGAAAAATCTTTATATTTTAGTAAAAATATAAAGACCGAAATGCTTTGCCTCCCACGGATTTGTCACCCCTTTTCCCCTGGGTAATGGAACTGCCAAAGATTACTCAAAGCCCATCTCTTCTGAGCAGTGAGAAGCCCTGAAAAG